AGGTGCCGGCCAGCTAAATTAAGATCTCACCTGGAGCTCCTCCCACCGGACCAGCGCTGACTCGCCGCTGCTCTCCGCACACTGAACGACGGTGCTTGAAGAGGAGCGTCGTGCCACTGCTGCTCCGGTGGGCGGCGCTCCGAGTGAGGTAAGAAAAAAAAAAAACATAGCACAAGCTTCGGTGCTATGTATCGGGGCAAGTACTTGTCATAATGCCCTGTATCAGTCCCAATTCTAGTACCGGTATCGGGACATCCCTAACCTCACACAATTTTAAAGAAAAAGTAATTGACAATGAAAATTATCATGGAAAATATAGAAAAAGGAACAAGTGTGTCACCATGTGTGCAGAATTCACTCATTCGTCAAAGAAGGATATGATCAACTTTAAAAAAAATTGGACTATATAGTAAACTTGTTGATCATTTGTCATTGTGGATGACAAGGGTCACTCTTTAAGTCTGGAGGAAAGAAAAGGTTTAATTTCTACATACGGAAAGGTTTCTTTGGAATTGTGAGAATGTGCAATAGCCTCCCACAGGTGCTAGTTTTACTTAGCTCAGTATATTATTTTATAAAGTGTTGGATGTGTTTCTAAATGCACAGAATATTATGAGCTATTAATTTTTATAAGTAATAATGCCATAGGTCCTAGATCTATGAAGAAAATTGAACCATGCTTTATAAGGGATTTTTGCTTTCCTCTGGTTCAGCTTTGGGTGTAGGGTTCTGGGGATGCTGGTTTTCAATATAATTACTGTATATATTCACTTTTCTAGTGGGGGAAATCAAAGATTGTGTTTCTTTTTTTTAACCTGAGTAACTATGTAATTATATATGTCGGAGAGAACATCTTTCTAAATCCTGGTAGCGGGGCTATACAGACGAGGTCAGGTTTTATCACTGATTTCAATGAGAGAGTTAGCACATCTCAAAGCCTGTGTTTGTACACACTTTTAAATCAACTTTATCAAGTGCTCCATAGTCTAGCCTGCAAAAATTATTCCTTTTCACTTCTGTGAGGCTAGCCTGCCTCCCGAATGTCTCTTGTATTGAAACATGGTCTATAAGGAACCAACCTACAGGTACAGCCAGCGGATAAAAGAATTTAGCTGCAGGGCGTGAAGATTGAGACAGGCTGTAGTTGTGGGATCCAAGCAATTATGTATCTGGAGTAAAGAAGGGTGAGGTACTTTTGTTAAAGCCCATTTTCATTTTTTTTTTAAAAAGGCCTTATTCCCACCACACAGGCGTCCTGGAATGGTAGAAATTCTTCCTTCCATGGGTTTTGAAGATTCTCACGATAGATACCAGCTTGACAGACACCCTTTTGGTGCAGTGGAGTTGGTGACCCCAGGAAGCTTGTCTCCCATTCAGCATCCTGGGGCTATGAGCGATTTGGATTCTGTCGGACAACACCACAGCAGTGGCATACATTAACCATCATGAAGGAACTTGAAGTCTTGTGGTTTAAAAAGAAGCCGACCTGATCCTGACTTTGTCCGGAACTTCATGTTCTAGGTCTGTATGCCCTGCACATTCCAGGCATAGAAAATTGCCAGACATACTTTCTCAGTCATCAACTTCTGGACTCCAGGGATTGGTATATTCACCTAAAGGTGCTTCAGGACCTCTGTCACAGCTTGGGAATGCCAGACGTGCACTTCCACACTTATATGTTCAACAGAAAGCAGAGCCAGGTCCAGAGATCCTCCAGCCATGGAATGTGATGCTCTAGTAACTCAGTGGGATCCTTTCAAACTGATCTATGTCTTTCTTTCTCTGAAATTTATTTTTTGTCCGCTTCACAGGATCGATGTGAGGGTATTCCAGTGGTTCTCGTTACACTGAATTGGCCCAGGCAGATCTGGTACACAGATGTCATCAGACTTCTGGCAGATTCTCTGTGGGCTACTCCAGGCCGTCTGTCCCAAGGACTGGTTTAGCAATCTGCTTCATGGCTTTTGATGGCACGGTTGTTAAATCTCAGGTCTTAAAGGTTAGGGGCCTATCTGATTAAGGAACACTCCTACACTCCTAAAAGCTAGGAAAATTCTCCTCTTGCAAGGTCTACCATAACATTTGGAAAGCAAACTTTGCATGGTGTGAGTCAAAGAATTTCCATCCCAGGAAGTACTCTGTGGAATGCATCCTAACCTGTCTCCATCCCAGTGTGGATCTGTATTTGACCTTGAGTACTATCAAATTAAAAATCTCAATTCCCTTTTAAAGACTGCTTGCTCTTCATGCCTTGGTAAAAGCTATTGTTCAGGGTGTTGCTCACAAAGCTCCACCTGCATGTCCACCTTTGACTCCATGGGATCTTAATCTGGTTCTGTTGACTGTTTAAAAAACACCATTTGAACCTATCCAAGATATTCCTCTGTCAACACTCACCTGCATGGTTTCTTTCATCTCTGAGTTGGCAGCCCTCTCTTGTTAAAAAAAAAAAAACCCTTTCTGTTTTTACACAGAAGATTGCCTATAAATCTAGGGCGTCCTTCCTACCCAAGATGGTTTCTTCTTTTCATTGTACTTTCATCTCTCTGTCCTGCCCCAGTACATGCCAAGGAATTTTCTCTCCACTGTTTGGATGTTCCAGTTTTCTTCTCAACCATGTCTTTCTTCGGACTGACTGACTTTCTGCTTGTCATTCCGCAGGGTCTCTGTAAGGGACAGCCTGCCTCTATTTCCACAATTTCAAGGTGGATTAGGCAGCTAATCATTTAAACCTACCAACTAAAGGATAGGGTTCCACCTTTTCCTGTCAAGGCACATTCTACTAAATTAGTAAATGTTGTTTCCTAGATTTGCAAGGCTACCACTTGGTCTTCTGTTCAGACCTCATCTGATGCAATCTTCCAATGTAGGGTCCTTCAGGTTGCGTGTTTTGTTTGCAGTGTCCAACCTCTCATTTGGACTGCTTTTAGGCATCCCATACATCCCTAAATCCTTCTCACCATGTGTTCCTTAATGAACGATTAAGAAAACAGGATTTTTGACTAACCATGAAAACCTTTTTTGGAGTTCATTAAGGGACACTGGTTTAACCCATCTGTCTTCTAATCGCTCCAACTACAGCTTTTTCACACTGAACTGAATTCTGGGTGACCGCTTTTATTAGCCTGTGTCCACTTCTCCTGTACAGTATGTAGTAATATAGGTCATATGTCTCAGAATCTTTCTGACCCTCTGTCCTTTTTTTTTTTTTTTGTCCTTATATAAAATATAATTCCCTTTTAATCAGGTAAAACCAGTAAATTTAATTTTAAATAAAATTAGTATATAAAGCCAAGTAAAAAGTAATTATTTGTTTTACTTTTTTTTGTAACTTTGCTCGATCAAGAACATCTCTGGCTGTGATTTATTAGCCCCCTATGATGGTATTAATACGGAACATTTAGCACCTTGGGTGACATTTTTCAATTGAAACAATTATAATAAAAAATACTAATTTCATTAGAATAGGACTGCTGTGCTTAACAGGCTCTAACCTTAAAAAACTTAATTAAACCATGTATCATACCTAATTACCTATATATGTAGGAAAAATAGTTTTAACCTAGCTGTGTACATGATAAATGGCTTTCGTTTTTTATTTATTTAAAATACTTTAATTTCCTGGATATAAATTATATCTGTAGATAATATTCTTATTTAATATAATCCAACTTTTAGTTTAGATTTATCGCCCTTGTAAGGCTGTAACATCAAATTTAAGAAGACCTGTACAAAATTCTAATTTTAAGATAAAGAAAGAAGGAAATAAATAAACCTGCAAAAGGTTTCTTTAAAAAAATATGTGGTTGAAAGGATGTGACACTCCCAGCGATGGCTTTGTTAAACAAGTCCTACAGGTTGCCCAGTTTTAGAATGAAATCGCATCATTAATATTAGTCACTTGTGTGGTAAGAGAGCTATATTTGTTATATAAGAAATCATCACAAATATCATAAAATTACTGGCAACTACTACCCTTTCTGTGCAGAATTCTACTTTAGTTCTGTACACTGTAAACTAAGACAATGCCCTATGTATAAAGCCAACCTACAAGTGCTACTCTAATAATAATAATAGCACCAAATTAAAAGAGAACTATAGCCAAACATTTTCTTGGCTATAGTTCTCTTTTGGGTCACAGGAGTACATTTACTAATGCACTCCTGTGACCCAAACTCAACAAACAGCAGGCTACTGCCCACTATGTAAAAACAGTGCAGAGCGCCACTGCAGTCGGGAAAGACCTTCCTGACCTTCTCTCAGCCTTCCCTGGCTGTTCCACATGTCCCACATGCGCCTGAGTCTGCTGTGGCTTTGTGCTTCCTGCACCCACACAACTCCAACACTTCTCTCTGAATTATGGTCCAGACTCCTAATAAGGCTGCTCTCAGCCACCTGGTCCAGCTATACTGGTCATTGGCAACACCTGGCCCCAGGACTGGAGATTTCATCCCACCCAGAGCTCTACAAAATCTCCAGAGCTCCAGATCCCAGCTACATTTAGGAAAACTTGGAAGAACCTGAAAAGCCAGGTTCTTCCTTATAACCTGAAAAGCCAGGTTCTTCCTTATAACCTGATACAAAAACGAGAGAGGGTTAACCCGTTAAGAGGTAACGGGTTAGTAGCGGTCAGCTTAAGGATCCGGACAAGTCAATTGATTGTAAAAGAGATAATTTTATTGAAAAAACATGTACGTTTGCACATTTGACTCACTAATTACCATTAAAAACATTGTGGGTAACATACAGTCATAAATTATATGTTGATCGATCCTCATTAATGTTAACCTTGAATCCCCACCGTGGATTCCCCACTCCGTGGATCTTTGGTAGTCTCCTGGAGGTTCAGGATGTAGTCTGTCCGTCAGCAAGTACCACCTGCCCCAGTTTGCGATTTTACCAAGGTTGGCAAATCTTCAAAATCAAGTTTCAGGATCATACATCCACTTGCGGTGTGGTGACTGCACGTTTGATCTCTGTCTACCTGTCATACAGGAAACACCAAATTAACAAACAACATCTTCAAATACCTGTCAAAATCCAACGGAAAGTAGGGAAAGTCAGTGTTGCAATCACTGATCAGTCCAGAATTCTTTATTATATCTGAGCAGGGAAACCAGAAGAAAATCTCTTCCCCCCTCTCTCTCCTACGTTTGGGACCATCCGCTCGGTTTCTGTAATTCACGCAGGTTAACATGCATGTGGGAACTCAAATGGAGGAAGAGAGACCGAAGTAATAGCTACATCGGTCACCTTCCCCCACGGTGGGGATTCAAGGTTAAAATTAATGAGGATCGATCCACATATAATTTATGACTGTATGTTACCCACAATGTTTTTAATGGTAATTAGTGAGTCAAATGTGCAATCGTACATGTTTTTTCAATAAAATTATCTCTTTTTCAATCAATTGGCTTGTCCGGATCCTTAAGCTGACCGCTACTAACCCGTTACCTCTTAACGGGTTAACCCTCTCTCGTTTTTGTATCAGTCTATTTTGGTCACGGATCGGACGAAACAAGTTATTGTGTAAACCTAATTAGGGCAATTACAATCAGTCGGATCTCCAGGCAGGAACACAAACCTCTTTATATACCGTATATACTCGAGTATAAGCCGTCCCGAATATAAGCCGAGGTACCTAATTTTAGCCAAAAAAACTGGGAAAAAGTATTGACCCGAATATAAGCCGAGGGTGGGAAATGAGGCAGCTACTGGTAGATAGATGCCATTAAAAT